AAAGAAAGAAAAAAGAAAAGAAAGAAAAGAAAGAAAGAAAAGGAAGAAAAGAAAGAATATATAGTCTAAGATTCATGGTTTAAAAATGTAAGATATTTCCAAATCAGGGCACATAAAATGGGAGATTTCCTTCTGCCTGAACTCCTGACCCCCTCTGAGCAGAATTCAAGAATATAAGTCACCATCTTCTAAACTCACAGCTGCTGAGGAAAAGTGAATCACTCTCTTTTATTTTGGGAGAACACGCTGGGAGTATTTTTTGTTTTTGTTTTTTAAAGAAATTTAAGCGAAAGCCACAAGTTAATTTGTTCAGTCATTTCATAGAGTTCTAAGGAATACTTGGGATAATAACAGAATTTATCAATCGTAACCATGAACACAATAACCTAATCATAATTATTTATGCTGAATAATTGGCCAGACATAAGGTAAGTATGCACTTAATGTGCGCACATGCATGTACACACACACACACACACACACACACACACACACACAATCTACGGCTAACACATACATCATCAAGTCTCATAGTATTCATCAGAGAAAAACAAATCACATTGTTCTGCTGTTGAATTTCATTTAGAAAAGAGAATTTAGAGAAGATGTTGCTCCTAAAGGAGCTTTTCTTGCACATGTTAATAAAAATACTAATTCGCTTTCTCTTTATGGCACTTTATGGCTCATGATGCATTTTTAAATCTCCTGACATTCCAATACTCTACACTATAATATTCACTCCATAATTTATATTCCTTGAAAATGTGTATCTATTTTTATTAAGGACCAACATTGGTTTGATTTTTTTTCTTTTTTAAGATGGAGTTTCACTCTTGTTGCCCAGGCTAGAGTGCAATGGCACAATCTTGGCTCACCACAACCTCCACCTCCTGGGTTCAAGCGATTCTCCTGCCTCAGCCTCCCAAGTAGCTGGGATTACAGGTATGCACCACCATGCCTGGCTAATTTTGTATTCCTAGTAGAGATGGGTTTCTCCATGTTGGTAAGGTTGGTTTCAAACTCCCAACCTCAGGCAATCCGCCTGCCTCGGCCTCCCAAAGTGCTGTGATTACAGGCATGAGTCACCACGCTCGGCCAGGTGTAAGAATTTCAAAGGATGAGAAGGAGTTATTCTTCCAAGCAGAAGAATTAACACAACAATAAAAAGCAAAGCTAAACTAGTGAGTGAGCATCAAACGCAAGATAGAAAGCCACTTATAATGCAGCTGAAGAATTCAGGCAGATAGCAAATTTTAAGAGGCCTTGGATGGCATGCCTTGGAGTTCGGATTCTGTTCTTTAATAGGAAACCACTGCTGAATTTAAAGCAAGAGCATAGCATTGTTATATTTACATTTTAAAAAGATTACTATAGATTTAAGACTGGAAGTAAGGAAGTGGTAATAAGGATGAATGGAAAAACCCAGATTCAAGAAATACCTGGTAAGTTAAGCCAACAGAAAGGAGAATACAAAGCAGAGGAAAGAGACTGTCACTCCCAGATTGTTAGCTTGGTCTGCTGGGTATATGACAAGGTGGAGAATGCAGAAAAAGAGAAGTGTTCAGGGCTATATTCATAACACCTAGAATAATGCCTTGGCTGTGGCAGCTGTTCACTAAAAATGTGTTCAATTTGTTGAATTAATGAATGCGTAAGCAGGCATTTAGAGGTAAGTATCAAGCACAGGGGCGACTTGAGACTAGGGATACAGAACTGATGTGTGATCAGTATACTGATGGCAGTTAAAACCATGAGAGTAAATGTAATTGACCAGAAACTCAGAAGGGTGGAGCTAGCTCTCTGTTTTCATTTTTAAAAGGCAGATGAAAGACACTCTATGAAGAATACCAAGAAGAAACTGGGGAATAGCATGACAGCCAGAGAAGAGTAGAGTATGGAAAATAAGAAAATAAAAAAGAAGAGTAGTCATCAATATCACAGGCAGCAGAAAAGTACTATTAGATAAATAAGGACTGGAAAGAGTCTTGGATTTGGTGAAATAGGAGTCAATGATAGCATTGGCAGAAAAAAGATAATAACAGGATGCAGTAGGTTGAGGAACAAAGAAGAAGAAGTTTATGTCAATTTTTAGGATGCTGGGCTGTGAAGAGAAAGAGAACGGGGCCATGGCTAAACAGAAGTTTCTTCCCTTTTTTTTTTTTTTTTTTTTTCCTCAATGGGAGACACTTGGGTGTATTTACAGTAAAGAAAAGGAGCTGGGAGAAATGAATAGGTTGAAGATATAGGAGAAAATAAAACTGACAGCACTGTTCTGAAAGAGATAGAAGGAAATAATAATAATATTACTAAGACAGGAAGAGGACTGGCCTTGAAAAAGAGTCAGGGTAAAATTAAAACGAGGTAAGGTTAAATAGAAATGTGTTAGAATTAGGAAATACTGGGGATAGGGAGATGTCAAGAGAATTTACAGTTGTATTTCCATAATTTCAGAGACAAAGTAGATTTGATCAGTGTCTGAAAGTAAGGGAGGGGGGATCAGCTAGGAGAATAGTAAATATTTGAGATAATTAGAAAATGATAAAGAAAAGAATGCAGAGAAAGTGTTAAGAGCTATGTAGATTCAACAAAATGGAAAAATACGAAAACATATTGGCGGGGTGCAATGGTTCATGCCTGTAATCCCAGCACTTTGGGAGGCTGAGGCGGGCAGATCACTGGAGGTCAGGAGTTTGAGACCAGCCTGGTCAATGTGATGAAACCCTGTCTCTACTAAAAATATAAAAATTAACTAGGCATGGTGGCGGGGCACCTGTAATCCTAGCTGTATTTCAAAAAAAGGAAATATTACTAGCAAGTACAAATTAAAATAAGTAAAAATTTTTTTACTCTAAATAGTCAAAATGATAAAGACATGTACATAATTTCAATACAATAAAGTTGAGTGCAAGGATAGACATATAGCTAGAATACAACTAAAAAGAAGAGCCACCAGGGGTGCTGGAAAAGATAAGGGCTGTATCCATAACACCTAGAATAAGTCTTGCCCGTGGCAGCTATTCACTAAGAATTGTTGAATTTGCTGAATTACTGAGTAATAAAATATGAACCATACAGGAGGCAGTTTTATGTAATGGAAAATAATATAAGGCAAAAAAGACTTAGGTCTGAATTTGGGCTTTCCTACACATTAGTTGTGCTATCTTAGAGCTTCTTTCTAAGAAGACTGTTTCCTCATCCATAAAACGAGGATAGGAACTACTTTTCAAAATTGCTATGAGGAATTAATAAGACAAGTAAATTACATAAAAGAACCTAAGTGATCATTTGAATAAGGAGGAGTAATCTGATTATGACATCAATAGTTCAATGACCACCAAATTACTTTTGCTAATTTGGTTACTGACTGGCTAGTCAGGTGTCCCTCCCTTTCCTCGCAGCTTCATGAGATACATTTTAAAGGGGCACATCAGGTTGAAAAAGACATTTCAAAGTTGTGGTTAAAAAAAAAAAACCCTAGGTCCTCTACCACCACAAGTGACAAAAGAAAGATAACAGTTGAGATGTCATGAAGACTATGTTCTTTTTTTTTTTTTTTTTTTTTTTTTTTTGAGACGGAGTTTCGCTCTTGTTACCCAGGCTGGAGTGCAATGGCGCGATCTCGGCTCACCGCAACCTCCGCCTCCTGGGTTCAGGCAATTCTCCTGCCTCAGCCTCCTGAGCAGCTGGGACTACAGGCACGCGCCACCATGCCCAGCTAATTTTTTTTGTATTTTTAGTAGAGACGGGGTTTCACCATGTTGACCAGGATGGTCTCGATCTCTTGACCTCGTGATCCACCCACCTCGGCCTCCCAAAGTGCTGGGATTACAGGCTTGAGCCACCGCGCCCGGCCCTATGTTCTTAGTATAAATAGAAAATAAAACCAGAGGCAGACACATAAAAATCACAAAATAATTGAATCACGATGTTTTCTTTTTCTTGTTTCTCTCCAAACATTAGTTCTGATTACATTATTTAACAAATACATTTTTTAAAGCGGACCTGATATATTAAGCCAACTATAAATTATAGAAATGCCACACTAACTGATAACAGACTAAACCTATCTGTTAAGAATTAACCAGTAGTCAAATAATAATGTAGTTTAATCACTTATTATTTGCCAGGCTTTAGCTTTCTTATATTACTAAATCTTTGATTCTCACAACAATCCTATCAGGTAAGTAATAATAATAAGTAAGCCATTTTGCTGATGAGGAAATAGAGGCACAGAGTGGTTAAATAATTTGCCCAAGGTCACATACCTAGGAAATGGCAGAGTATGGGTTCCAACCTTGTAATCTGGTTCCAAAGCCCAGAGCTCATAAATATATTTAAGATCTTCTGAAATGGCCAGTCTAGAGGTATCACTCTTGTGATACCTCTTGTAGTAACTCATAGAGGTAACTATCATCTCTCAGTTGAAAGCTGCACCTTTGAGATCAAGCATCTTTGCATATTCTGTCATTATAAGCTACAGTAGCAATAGTTACTAATTCACCATGTACAAGTGGGCTTCTCTAGCATACTATCATACACCTGTTTCTAAAGGCACTTGGGAGGCTTGGTTGCATCCATGCTGACATACAGAACCGTGAGCTGATGCTACCTGCACTCCTATGATTTACTAAGTATATATAAAAAAACAACAACAGAAATTTTCATTCTAAAGGATGATGTATAAATCACGTGTACCTATGCTTAACATAAATATTCAGAGACCTCATATAAAACATAAAAATTGTTTAAATTTACTTCGGTAAAATTTTTAAAAACTTCCTTGGACCACAAGATATAAATGCTCAAGACAAAGTAAACATATGCCAAAGTTCTCATGAAGTCACATAAATAATAAAACTTTAGCATGCCCCACCCCGATCTTGGCCAAAATCAAATGCTTCAGGAAGTTTCTAATTTTATTAGTGTTCATAGAATATGAATAATACACATCTCCAAAAGGAATAAAAACAGGTAGAAATCCCTTATAATTTTCATCCTACCTAATATTACTTGATTTCAGATGCTCCTCTGATTTCAAGTTTTCGGTCCTCATCTGGGACTTAAATGAAACGTTTTCTCCCACAATGACTATCTGCAAGAACATCCAATTTCTCATAAGGTAGAATGGTTTAAGACATTCTAGATAGAGGAGAGGAGGAAAATATGAGTTAACCCACAGTAACAGAGAATCCTTATGAAAAAAATTATTTTATCGTTATTTGAAATTACTTAATGTGAAAGGTAAAGGAAAAATGTCAAAGCCCTCTTCTTTTTTTATTGTTTCTTAGAACAAACATTTAAAAATTCTGTCTCATATATTTCTAACAGATTCTAGTCTTTGACCAAAATGTTATTCTAATGTTCCTCATTGTCCAAAAGCTTAGTGATCTCTACAGGACAAACAGATACCAATTACTAAGCAGGGCTCTTTTAAGATCAGTGTGAGAATGCCCTATAGAATACAGGAGCAGATGAACTCCTTACTGAAGAAAAAAATATATAAAGCAATTAAAACACAATTATAGGTAGTACAAATAATGCTGAAATTCTAAGGTCAGCGGAAATGTCAGGTTTTTCAGTTCTCATTTACTGCACAAATATTTGGTCATTTTTATATTGTAGATACAGTGTTAAGGACTAAGTGTACAATGATGGAAAAAAATCAATATGGTCCCTGCCATGCATTTAAAATCTAGTGTAGAGACAGACCAACAAGGAAGGAGGCAGCAGTGGTTAAAAGCCTGGCTTTGGGAGTCACACTTTCTGTACCCCAATGGTATGTCAGATGCAAATCAAGCCACAAGAAAAACAGCACAATTTCTTGGGACTTCAATTTAACTCAAAAATTTGGACAAAGTTATTATTATTGCTATTGATAATTGCGTACATTTATAATTATTAGATGCCAGATACAAAGCTAAATATTCTATATGCATGATCTCATAACATGGGAGTATAATATAGTAAGAGTGTCTTATATTCAAACTGCCTAGGTTCAAACTAAGCTCTGCCACTTACTGGCTGTGCAACCTTAGGTGAATTCCTTCTCTAGGCCCCAGTTTTGTTAGAAATAAGATGGAGATAATAAAATACCTACCTCATTGAGGTGTTTTGAGGATTAAATGAGGTAACAGAAGTAAAGCACTTAGGATTGTTCCTTGGTAAGTAAGCCCTCAAAAACTGTTGGCCATTATTGTCATTATCATTTTATAGTTATTACTCCTCTCAGCAATCCTAAAAGGTAAATGCTATTATTATCCTCAGTCTATAAATTAGGAACTTAAGAATGCATACTAATCAACTCTAGAATAGAACATTTTTCATAATTCTTCACAATAAAATATGTCTTAGGAGAAATTTCAAATATGTGGCAGGTCTATACAGACTTTGCTGCCATACTTGCAAAGCATGTATTTAATCCCTGTGACTTTGTAGCACTTTAGTGGAAAAGAATGAGATAAAATACTTTATGGTAAAACTCAAGTTCCTCAGCATAGCATATAAAGTCCCACAGCTGTCCACTTTATACTTTATGATCCAATAAACCTGAATTACTCTTAGTTTCTTGTTGTTTTGCCCCTTAGTATCCTTATTCATGCTTTTCACTCATCCTAGAATGCCCTCCCACCTTCCACCTTGTCTGGTTAACCCGTTCTTGTACTTTAAACTCAGTAACTCCTACAAGCAGGTCTTGGCTTGGCTGACTACTCCCAGTGCATCTTAATGCCCACATCTATTATTGGACTCAAGGTACTACAATAAAGTTATTTGTTTACACATTCCCGTCACTAGAGACTGTCCCATTCAATTATGCATAACATCGTGCATGCCATACAAGTTGCTCAAATAAATTTCGGTTAATTTGGACTAACTTCAATAGAAGGTAAAGATCCTAAAAACTCCAGGTTTCTCAAACCTGACAATAGTTTTAAAAGTCTTCAGGAAAACAATCGGATAGGTTTTTCATCTGAGAACCAGGAATAACACACTTTTCCTTAAGAAAATCTGCCATTTTATACAGTCAATCAGAGAAATGCATAATCATTTACTTGGCTCTCTGAAATTCACATTTTGCTTTCATCATAGTGGGATCTGTATAATATACAGAGAACATTAAATATTCCTGCAGAAACATAAAATCTAAAACTTCAAACAGAACATAAACTCACAACCCAAATGAATGAAACAAGAAATGTAGGTTAAGCCATAAACAGGAAAGCAATTTCCCCTCATCTCAATTTTTACATTAAACAAGGTATGCCAAAACAATGCTTTCCAAAGCAATGAACCCAACGTTTTCTAAGAATCGTCCCTTTTTTGCAACAGCCCCTGTACGTTCTTGAAATAATAGATTAAAATTAGTATCTTGATATATAAATGGTCAGATAAGATTACCTTGGAAGACATAACAGAGTAATCAGATGCTTTCACATACAGATAAAATGTTAACAGAATTCCAAACAAGAAGGATACGAAAATGAAGCAAAATTATGAGTAGATACTAGAATTAAAAGTAGTGTTAATGTGGCCGGGCGCGGTGGCTCAAGCCTGTAATCCCAGCACTTTGGGAGGCCGAGGCGGGTGGATCACGAGGTCAAGAGATCGAGACCATCCTGGTCAACATGGTGAAACCCCATCTCTACTAAAAATACAAAAAATTAGCTGGGCATGGTGGTGCATGCCTGTAATCCCAGCTACTTAGGAGGCTGAGGCAGGAGAACTGCCTGAACCCAGGTGGCGGAGGTTGCGGTGAGCCGAGATCGCGCCATTGCACTCCAGCCTGGGTAACATGAGTGAAACTCTGTCTCAAAAAAAAAAAAAAGTAGTGTTAATGTAAGTAATAGCAGGCCAAATTTATTTGGAAATGGTAATAATATGAAAAAACTAACTCTGACAAAGGGACAACATTACAAGACAAAGTACGAGGAGTTAATATGAAGAAAACAGGCTGTCAAGTGCACAAGACAAGACACAGACAGGAAGAAAATATTTGTAAAACACACATTTCATAAATGACTGTTATCTCAAATATATAAAGAACTCCTGAACAATAAGAAAATGAGCAACTCGATTAAAAAAATGTGCCAAAACCTTAACAGACACCTCACCAAAGATATACAGATGGCAAATAAGGATGTGAAAGATGCTCCACATAAAATGTCTCAGGGAAATGCAATTTAAAACAACAATGATATGCGACTACACTATTAGAATAGCTGAAATCCAGAACAATTACAAAACCAAATGCTAATGAGGATGTGGAGCACTGAGAACTCTCATTCACTGCTGTTGGGAATGCAAAATGGTATGGTCACTTTGGAAGACAGTTCAGAAGTTACTCACAAAGCTAAACATAATCTTATCATATGACCTCTATGTATTTATTCACTTGAGCTGAAAACTGATGTCTATACAAAAATCTGCACATGAACATATCAACTTTATTTATAATCACTAAAACCTGCACATATCATTCTGCACATGAATACCATATCAGATTATCACTAAAACCTGCATACATCATATCAGCTTTATTTATAATCACTGAAAACTAATTTATCCATTGACCTATTGAAGTAACCAAGATATCCTTCAGTAGGTAAAAGGATAAGTAATCTGTGGTACATCCAGACAACAGATTATTATTTAGCACTAAAAAGAATTTAGCTATCAAACCATGAAGAGAAATGAAGGAAACTTAAATGCATGTTACTAAGTGAAAGAAGCCAATAAAAAATGACTATATACCACAGGAGTCCAACCATCTGACATTCTGGAGAAGGCAAGAGCTACAGAGGTAGTAAAAAGATCAGTGGTTGCCAGCAGCTGGAGGGGAGGAGAGGGGATGAACAGGTAGAGCAGAGAGGATTTTTAGGTCAGTTAAAATACTCACACTGGTCCAAAGCCACAGAGGGTACAACACCAAGAGCGAACTATGATGTAAAATCAACTTTGGGTGAATATGATGTGTCAATGTAAGTTCATCAATTGTAACAAATGTACCACTCTGGTGGGGAATGTTGATAATAGGGGAGGCTATTCATGTGTGTGAGCAAGGGGTATATGAAAAATCTCTGTTATCTTCCTTGCCATTTTTCTGTAAACCTAAAGCTGCTTTAAAAGAAAAAGAAAACAGGGTGTAACCATATCCTTTGACAGATGACAGTGAACAAAAATTAGTTTGGAAAAATAAACTGTGTGTGTGTGCATGCACGCACATGCATGCACGCATGTATGCCTATGTTTGTTTTAACTCTATTGCCCAGGCTGGAGTGCAGGGGTGCAATCATGGCTTCGGCTCCTGCTTTAGCCACCCAAGTAGCTGCAACTAGAGAGGCATGTGCCACCACATCTGGCTAATTTTGGTATTTTTGGTAGAGAGAGAGTTTTGCCGTGTTGCCCAGACTGATCTTGAACTCCTATGCTCAAGCAATCCTCCCACCTTGGGCTCCGAAAGTGCTGGGATTGCAGGTATGAGCTACTGTGCCTGGCTGAAACAGTACTTTACAAAATGTAAAGCTCCATCCAAATTTAGATTAGGGAGAAATAAAGTTCAACTTTCTAACTTGGAACAGGAAGATAACATGAAAGATGGACAAGTTAATTAACTCAACTAGCAACAATATTTAAGATATTGTCTGATTTAACAAAATAAAATATTCTGTAAATTACTGTGGAACAAATAGTACATTCTTCTACTTCCTAGTCTCTCTTTCAGGTAGTCTCTGAAACTGAAAAACAAAAGATATTCAGAAGTCAAACCTGATATTCTCACAAGAGCCATTATTTAGTCCATACTTCCAGATGACAATTTAATTATCTACACAGTTCTTTTTCTTGATTATTTTCCTGAGTAAAGAAATGGGTGCTGTGTAATAATAAAATAATTTAACAAATAAAACCAGATACAGATTATATAAAACCTGTGATAGATTATTAACTGTCCCCCAATAAATCACACACCTCTTGGCATTTGTACCCCTGGAACTCCTACCAATCCTGAGTTTGGCCGTGTGACTTACTTTGGCCAACTGGACTTCAGTAATGTGACACTGAGACTTTGTAAGCAATGGCACATTTGGGCTTGCCCTTTCGGAACACCACCAAAACAGTATGAAGCTGAGGATGAGAGACTACTTGGAAAGAGAGACCCAGTTTTCTCAGCTATAGAGCCATTTCAGTTGAGGGCCCAGACATTTGAGTGAAGTTGTTTTGGACTATGCAGGTCAGACTTAACTTCATCTAGATAGTCTGAGAGACGGGAAACCAGCAAGCAAAATTATTGGACATTTTAAACAAAGGTATGACATGCATGTAACTAACTGACAGTTCCTTAAAGAGTTATATTAAAGGGTTTTCCTTTTGTTAAAGGAAAAAGTGGGAGTACAGATATCATTTGGGAGTCATCGGCATATAGATATTCATTAAAGCTCATGAGATGGGATGACATTGCCAAAGGAGTGTTAAGAGTAACAAGTCTGAAAAACTCGACCCACAGCCTTCGGACCACACGCAGCCCAGGATGGCTTTAACTGCGGCCCAACACAAATTCATAAACTTTCTTAAAACATTATGAGATTTTTTTGCAATTTTTAAAAGCTCATCAGTTATCATTAGTGTTAGCGTATTTTATGTGTGGCCCGAGACAATTCTTCTTCTTCCAATGTGACCTACGGAAGCCAAAACATTGAACATTCCTGGCTAGACTGAGAAGGAAACAAATAGTAAACAGACTGAGAACCAGTGGCCAGAGAAGTAGGAGGTAAATTTGTTAAACAAGTGTCCCAGAAGCCAAATAAGAAAAAGCTTCAAGAAAAGAGGGCAGAATCAATAAATGCTCCTCATGCATACATAAAGTAAAATGAGGGCTGCGAACTAATCACTGAATTTAGTAATGGGGAAGTCACTGTGGATCTTGTTATAAGAGGAGAGGAACTGAGGCTAAAATTGAGTTTAGACAATATTGTCTAGGAAAAGAAAGGCAGTAGCTAGAGAGAGATGTGAGGGTCAAAAGGGATTTTAAGATGGAATACATAACATGCTTTTTTATAGGATGGGATAAACAACAACATAGAAAAGATCCAATAGAGAAAAATAACGGGTAAATACAGTCTCATGAGTGCCATAGGGACTTGTCTGAATATGCATATTTTTAAAAGGAAAAAAGTCCCTGAATGAAACAATAAAAAATTAATATAGAGAAGGAAAGGTAACTAACAATTTTGGGGGCTCTACTAAATGACAAGTGAAAAATATAAGTCATCCTGGGTTTAGTTTTCATGACAACCTGAGATTACAACCATTTTTCCAATTTTATGATTAAAGAAACACACAGATATTTCAGAAAACTTGCCCAATGCCACAAAAATGGTAAGTGCTAGGACAGGAATTCAAATCCAGGTACAGTATCAGAATTGTGAAGCCTAAACTTTTTCTGCTCATTATTTCACAATGCATGACAGACCTCAATTTTCAACACTTCATACACTAAAAGCTAAAGAGCAAGTATCTCATTAATTATGATTTATTCACTTTTTTTTTTTTTTTTTTTTTTTTTTTTTGAGATGGAGTCTTGCTCTGCTGCCCATACTAGAATGCAGTGGGACAATCTGGGCTCACTGTAACCTCCGACTCCTGGGTTCAAGTGATTCCCCTGCCTTAGGTGGGAGGGAGATTCAAGATATTCTCCAGCCTTAGCCTCCTGAGTAGCTGGGATTACAGGTGCATGCCACCTGGCTAATTTTTGTATCTTTAGTAGAGATGGGGTTTCACCTTGTTGGCCTGGCTGGTCTCAAACGCCTGACCTCATGATCCACCTGCCTCAGTCTCCCAAAGTGCTGTGATTATAGGCATGAGCCACCGCGCCTGGCCCCCAGTTTGCTTTTTGGAACAGCATAAGACACACCCACATCCTATTTCCCTTAAATCTGATAAAGAACTCTTCTCCAAGAAATCCTCCTGGTTTTAACTTTAGCATTAAGTTCTTTCCCAGTTCTCTCTCTAGGTGTTTTCCTCACTCTCTCTTCTTCCTCAATGTAATGTAAAACAAAAAGCCTAATTTTAGGAATTTTTTATTAATGAGACAATTACCAGATAATATATGTTTACCGTTATTTTCTCACAAGAATTATACCGGAGAAATAAACATACAGACCTCAATAGCAATTGCAGGATCCAAATTTGATAAAAATTAAAACCCTATAGATTTAAGAAGCTCAACTGCAAGCATTTAAACACAAAAGAAAACCACACAAAAGGCATTTTAATGAAATGGCTGAAAAACAATGATAGAAGAGGGAGAGAAAAAAATATATATTACATAAGGACTAAAGATAAGAATGATGGCTAAGTTCTTACCAGAAAAAAGTTAAGCCAGAAGATAACTGAATAACATCTTTAAAATACTATGGGGAAAAAATGTCAATCTATAATTTTATATCCAGCAAAAATATTCTTTAAAACCTAAGGTGAAAAAAAGACATTTTTTAGAAACATAAGAGCTGAGGAAATTTGATA